ATTATAAAATTATCATTATATTATGAAGTTACTAATAGACTATGAAATTACCTTCATAACTTAATCTAAGTTACATATGACTTCATAATATAATTATATTATAAAGTCACATACAATTACTTTTATAATTATAAGATTTCAAATATTTGAAATTTATAATAAATCAGATATGATATCTTAATATGATGATTTATCAAATAATTTATAATAATATTTTAATGGAAATTATATTTATAAAAAGGTATAATTTAGCTTTACAAAGATATATTAAAATATTTAAAAACTTCTAAAAAAATTATTAAAAAATTTTTTATTCATCTTAAAATAAAAAATTTTATTAAATTATGTAATATCTTTAATATTGATGAAATTTCAATTTGGTTTGACATAACTAGAAATATTACTATCAGTTAAAAGGAGAAAAAACAATTTATATTCATAATACAAATAATAAAAATAATTGATTTATTATTATTTTTATATGTATAATAGGTAAAAATTTCTGATTTATTTGATTTAAAAAAATCTAATTTTGTTTGATTATAAAAAAATGTTTTTAAAATCATCTTTATTAAATTATTATAGATGAAATCAAGTTACTACCAATTTGTATTTTTTAAAAAAAGTAAATATTATATGATAAAAAAGCTCTTTCTAATATAATTATATAATTTAAAAAGTTGATGAATAAATGCTAATAAAGTATTATATTAATTACTCTAATTAAATAAGAATGATAAATGACTAATTCCAATTTCTGACTATAATAGTATATAATTCCTTTAGAGAATATTTAGAAGAATTAGTCAAACAAAAATTTAATAATAATCATTTTAATCTGATATTAATTTTGAATAGTTTAATTAGTATTTATCAATTATTTGATATTACAATTAACAAATCTTTTAAGATAATCTTTATAGAAAAAGATATCTTTAGATGACTATTGTGATGTTAAATAAATTATTGCTAATAATCTTTGATATATAAAAATAAGTGATATGTGTAGATGAGTTAAATGTTTATGTCTATAAAAAGTATAATATATCAAATATCTTAAATGAAATAGATGATAATAAAATTTACAAATAAATTAATGAAATTCTTAATGATAAAAGAGAAAAAAAAATTGATTTAAATTAAAATTAAAATTTTTTATTTATAAATATATTTTTTTAATAATGTAATTTTTCAATTTTTTTAATAATATAATAAAATTAAAAAGTAGTTTAAGGGATACTTATTTTCAATTTATGCTTAAAATTATGTAAATTAAAGGAAAGAAAAAAATAATTTTAAAGAATAATTAATATTAAAAAAATATAGTAAAATAAGAAATCAATTATTATTAATTGAAATCTATTAAATAAAAAGTATATAATATATATTCTATAATCAATTACCGAATTTATTAGCTAATTTTATAATATTAAATTTAAACTATTTGTCTTAACATTTTAGTTAATATTAAAAAAATTAATTTCTTAATAAATTTGACTTTTTAAAAAAAGATTTTAAATCTATCATTTTAACAGAAAACATGTTAATTGATTATGCTAATATTTGAATCAATTGCAATAGAGAAAACATTAAAAAATCATTATAATGTACATAATAGTTTAAATAATCAATGGTATGTATATCACTTAATCTTAATGATGATGATAAGTTTAATTTTTCTTATTTTTTTTTTTTTTAAAAAAAAAAAAAAAAAAATACCAAAATTATAATTTTAATTTAATAAAAAGGTTGTACAGTACCATATATAATACCATCTCTCTATAAACATTAATTCTCTTCATCTTGAACATCATGTTCATCATTGTTTGTGTCCTGATTGGAAATTGGTTAATATTTAATAATATCATTCAAAACAAATAATTTGAACTTACAAGGTCTTGCGTTTGTGATGAGTTATCCTGAGGAAATCCGCCAGGCATCAGAAGCTCTCGATTTTCATTTGGAAGTTGTTGATTTTCATCAATATCATTACCACTTGTTCCGCGAATTACATCAATTAATCTTTCAGCTGCTGCTTGTAGGTTTGCTGCATCAGCTATTTGGTGTATACGTTCTGTAATCATTTGCACATTCGCATTCTGTATAATAAACGAGAAAAACATATTTAAGTTTAAAAAATAGAAAATGAACAAGTAGTAAATAACACCAACTCCAAATAATTGTCGTAGATCAACTGCCAAAAGATTCTCCCAATCAGTGCTAGCAAGCGTTGAAGAAGAGTCTGAAAATGCATCATAAGGGCTAACTCCATCTGGTGGCGGTAAAGGATCGTGAAGATTAATATCTCCGCTCGTGACTTCTTCAGGAAGATATGCGAGAAATTTAGAATTTTCTATTTTAAAATAGAATAAACTTTTAATAATTTAATCCGATTATTTAATGAAAATGATTTCAAATGTATGCAAATAAATTATCAACGAATTACCAGAAATGACAATATATCTACTTAAATTTAGCGGAATTTGTTCATTAAACGAATTTTCTCTGAGAATATTCCCATATGAAAAGGCTTGAATAAACTCCTCATCGTTCAAAGAAGCTAGCAAATCATACTGTATTAATATAAAATTTAGATAATTTAATTAAAAAAAATATTCTTACCTTTATAATTTGGAATTTGCAATTTTACAACTACGTTTATTGACGTAGTCTGAAGCCATTCAATAAGCTATGAAATACATTATTAGGACAATGTTAAAAAGTATATATACACATCACGGAAATTCACAGATACTAACTTCAGGTTGCGTCCATAGGGGCGAGACTTGTTCAACGTAATGGTTAATCAAAAGATTAAGATAATTGGAACTTGGCCTGTTATTATATTATTAATAATTAGCAAATATATTTTAAGTTTTTGATTTGTCACAACTATATAATTAAACCTTACACTTCTTGAACTAACGAACTTTCGGCAACATCATTTTCAAGTTGAATATCACATTTTTCAGACAAAAGAAGAATAACGGATGGAAAATAAAGAATAGCTTTTTCTAACATTTTTGTGCTCATTTCATGTGTCTGCTTAAAATAATTTTTTTTTTTTTTTTTTGTTAATACTGATATTGTAACTTTAACAAGAACATAACTTAAATAAATACGCATAGCTTACGGAATTATTTTCATCACGCAACTCTAGTTGAAATTTTGCTATTGCGGCGGAATAAGCAAAATTAGGCCAATCTTGTAAATTATGCAAAGTCCACTCATTGGCAAGGGATAAAACATAAGAATGTTGTTGAGCTTTTAAACCAAGATAATCAATGAAATTCAGTACACACAAAGGATCGTTTACAGGATCCAATGAAAGTAATAATTTTGAAAATTCAAAGGAAGTTTGCCAACATCCTCGACGAGATGTAGATTGAATCTGACGTAATAATCCAAGGAAAAAAGCTCTATATGTATTCAAATGACAATCCTAAATATGAAGTTGTATTACAAGTTAGAATAGTAAATTAAACTCGTACCTATTTTCGAAATATTTGTAATCCATTCGAGAAGTACCTTTTGAAATATTAAACTTAACGTGGAAGCTTTTTTCAAACGCATACAATGCACGTTCTATAAGTTCGCCTGCCATAGTATGATCTCCTGACATTTTGTAAACGTCGCTCATTTGCAATAGCGAATCTATATGATATGGATTCTCATGCAATAGGGAGAAAACTGCATTTGGATCTATGAAATAATAAAGTATTTAGGCTCGAGTGTTTAATAAAAAACTCATGAAAGTGAAGGAACTCATAAAATTATGTACCATGTGTGGATATGCGTTGTAAAAAATCCGATTGAACTATTTGGTATTGCTGAGAGTGCATAAATTTAAAATAATAAATTCCTTCCTCTTCCTTCAATAATTCCATTCTTAATCCAAATTTAAGAATCGGCGGCCAACTTTGTCTTGGTTTTGCCAACAACGTTTTTTTTATAGTACGCGCATAATTTCTGCTTCGAATCTCTCTGTCTACCTACATAACTAAATGTGAGGTTACCAAATCGGCAAAGAATTATAATTCAAATAATGTTGAAGTTACTCACAACTCCAGAAGAAAACATCCTCCTCATTTCGCCATCTGCATCTAATAAACGTGTATCTACAATTAAAAATGGATTGCTTAAAACTACTGAAGATTGATGTCCTTCTTTTGTTTTATCATCGTCCTGTTGTGCTGTTGAAAGATTACCGAACCTAATAAGCATATATTAATTTGTGTTAGGTACAGTACATCAAATTAAATCAATAATGATAATAATAATTTAATTTACTTGTCATTAATTTCTCGAATCAAAATTTCTAGTTCGGTATTGCTCATATCTTCAACTCTCTTTCCCGTACGTGATTTCTTATCTAATTCAGGCGCAGATTTATCGATAGAAGCATTTTTTTTCTTTTTCTTTTTCTTTTTCTTTTTTGAAGAAGAGGCTATAACTTGTGTCGAAGTAGTTTGTAAATTTTGCTACAATTTTATAAAAATATATTAGAAAATGATCGGCTTATAAGAATTAAATGTTTAAGGTCACTAACGTTTTCGTCTGAAATGTAACTTTCAGTGTCGTCAACACCTTCATTGAGCTTAATTTTTTTATAAATATAGATAGTTATTTAATTTGGTCAGGATATTTTAACAAAACAGATGATCTTACGTACTAAATCGAATAAATTTCCCTTTGGAGGTGACCGTTTAGGCTCAATTTCTTCGGAATCATTTTCTTCTTCCATTTGCACTGCAGAGAGCTCATACTCTTTATTTATTGCTTTTCTAAATGCACGTCCTGACATTTTGCTATAAGTTTATAATACTTAAATACAGTGGAAGCGTTTCAATTTAATCCTATAAATTGCCCTTGTTAAATAGGCAAATCGTGTATTTTTCCGCCTGATAAGATCTGATTCAATCAACGTCACATGTAATAGTTATATCTTAAGTTTAGATTATTTAGATCAAGTCTAGGGGCTAAAATTTTGTTCAGTAATAATGGGTAAAAGAGACAAGAAAACGGGAAAAGGTATTATAGGAATGAAAATTTTTTTTTTAGTTCAAACTAAAATAAGGAATTACAATTTTTATTTTTAAAAAAACGATAGGAAGATTGGATAAGTATTACCACTTGGCCAAAGAACAGGGTTATCGAGCTCGTTCAGCTTTTAAACTTATTCAATTAAATAAAAAATATAATTTTTTGGAGAAATCAAAATGTTTAATTGATTTGTGTGCAGCTCCTGGCGGCTGGTGAGTAATTCAACTATTTATATTTATTGATTAAAACTATTTTTTAATTTCCTTTTTCCTTAATTAAATTAAAGGTTACAAGTTGCGAGCAAATATATGCCAATTTCAAGTTTAATTATTGGTTTGAATTTATTTTATGTTATAAAAAAAAAATTTTTTTTTTTAATTTCTTAATTAATTATATGAAATACATATCTTAATGCGTTAAAAAGGTATCGATCTTGTACCTATTAAACCAATTCCAAAGATTATCACTTTTCAGGAAGACATTACCACAGATAAATGTCGGGCTATTCTTCGAAACGAATTAAAAACTTGGAAAGCTGATGTGTAAATTAAAAATTATTCCTATTCATAACAATTACTTCAAGGATAAAGCGTACGATTTAATAAATTATATTTTTATGTAGAGTACTTCATGACGGTGCTCCTAATGTTGGTGTATCTTGGATCCAAGATGCCTATGCACAATCTGAATTGACTCTAAAAGCTTTAAAGTTGGCTGTGGAATTTTTGAACAAAGGAGGTTTTTATCTTTTATCTTGAATTTGAATTTTATAAATTAATTATTATAATTATGATTCATATTTGCTCATAATTTGATGCAACAATTAGGCACTTTTGTGACTAAAGTGTTTAGATCCAAAGACTATAATAATTTAATATGGGTATTTAATCAACTATTTAAAAAAGTAGAGGCTACAAAACCTGCTTCTTCAAGGTACCTTTAATCATTTCCTATTAAAGAAATTGATTTCGAATCTAACAACCTATACGTTCATCTCATAGAAATGTATCGGCAGAAATTTTTGTTGTCTGTCGCGAATTTCTCGCCCCTAAAAAAATCGATCCGAAATTCCTCGATCCTCGCTCCGTTTTCCAAGAAGTAGATATCGGTCCTACAAATAGATCAGTAGATATATTACACCCTGAAAAAAAGAAGCGACAGCGAGAAGGTTATGATGACGGAGACTATACTTTATTTAAAGATGCATCAGTTCTAGATTTTATTCAATCGAACGATCCAATTAAACTTCTTAGTGAGGTCAATAAGTTAAATTTTGATACTGATGAAGCCAAGAAGTGAGTATCTTCACTTGCATTATATTTATTTTTTACTTTTGCTAACCTTAATAATTTCTTAGAATATTGAATCATGAAACGACTATCGAAGAAATTAAATTGTGTTGTGAGGATTTAAAAGTTTTAGGTAAAAGAGAATTCAAAAATCTATTGAAATGGCGGAATTCTATTAGATCATCGGTAAGTAATTATATAAGTTTTCTGACAAATAATTTATCTTGATAAGAAATAATTTTTTTAAAAAAAATAATTTTTAGTTGCAAGAACAAGATGGAATAAATGAAAAGTCAAGCGAGAAGGAAGAAAAAGAGGAATCTTTTGATGAAGACGAAATCATACAAGAAGAGGTTTGCATTATTTTGTCGTCATTAATTAATTTTCATTTTCAACATTTAATGATTAAAATTTTATTATTTTTTTTTTTTTTGTTATAATAAATAGCTCGAAAGATTGACCAAGGAAGAACAAGCTCGTCAGAAGAAAATTCGTCGAAAGGCCAATGAAAAACGTCAAAAAAATGTGACCCGTATGCAATTAAAAATGATTTCTCCTACAGATATAGCATTAGATCAAGTTGATTTAAATGGTAGTGAATCATTATTTAATTTAAAACAGATCGATAAATCTGGGGTATGTGATATTCTTCATTTAAATAAGTATTTTGCATTAATTGCATAAATTTTCCTTCATGATTTCATATCTTTTATAGAAGTTTGAAAATTGAGATATACGGACAACTAATTTATTTTATTTCAGATGTTAAAAACATTTCGAAAGGGGGACATGAATATTGTCATTGAAAACGAGCAAGACGATGATGACATTGTGATTGATGTTCAACAAAAACAAAGTGATGATACCGAAGATATGGAATGCATAGATGATGAAAATAACTTGACTTATTTAGAACAGGAAATGGAAGATTTGTAAGAAGATACTTTCACATTTGTTCCACATTTCGATTTGTTTTTTAATGTTGATGAATTCCCTTTTTAGGTATGACCAATATAAAGAACATAAGGCAGAACGTGATGCGAAATATAGAGTTAAGAAAATGCGTGAAGAAAACGAGGAATGGAATGCCAACCTTACTTCCGATAAAGGCGATGATTGCGACAGTGTAACATCGGACTATGCAATGCCTCGAAACACAAACACCTATGATTCGTCGTCATCAAGTGAAGACGATTCTGAAGAAGAATCATTTAATAGTCATAAAGTAAAGAATAAAGCAAAGAAAAACAAAAAATTATTAACAGATTTGAATGATGATGAAGGCGAAGAAAAACCTCAAAGTCCAAGTGGTTTAAGCAAAAAAGCAACTTTGTTTTTTGATCAGCCCTTATTTAAAAAAGTGATGGAGGAATATGATGAAAATAAAGAACACGATCAAAACTCAAAAGCTGAAAAGATTCAAAGTGATGAAAATAAAGATCTGAAACTGTCTACAGAAGAAATTAAATTAGTTGAGAATTCTCGATCTGAACCCGAAAGAGATGAGTCTCAATTCAATAAAAATAAATCATTGAAACGTAAAGCTGAAGCGGTAAGAAATTCAAATGTATATTATTTTGAATCGAATTTAGTTGATAATAGTTTATCTTTTCCAGGTTGAGGAAGACGATGATTTAGAAATAGTTCCAGTCGATAAAGACAGTGATGAGGAATTGTGGGACGCTAATAAATCTGACGACGATGAAAAAAAAATGAAACGGACACAAGGTCATTTCATATTCATTTATTAAAATAACTTTTATTTTTACTTTTCTATAACGTTTGATTACATTTCTTTTATTACAGAAATTGGGTTAATTACCGCGGAAGCCGTAACTCTTGCACAACAATTAGTAAATCGACAAAAAACCAAGGAAGACTTGATTGATGAAGGTTTTAAACGACACACTTTTAATGATAGAGAAGGGTTACCATCTTGGTTCTTAGATGATGAAATGAAGCATAATAAAGTTAATTTGCCGATAACAAAAGAAGCCGTGGAAATAATTCGTCAAAGGATGAAAGCATTAAATGCTCGACCCATTAAAAAGATTGCCGAAGCCAAAGCTAGAAAAAAGATGAGGGTATTCATTTTTTGAATTAACGAAATATAATTTTTTTATTTCCTTCTTTATAAATATGATAGATCATGACAAAATTTCTTTTCCTCTTCTTTGTTTAGGCCATAAAAAGACTCGCTAAACTTCAAAATAAAACTGATGTCATCGTTGATACTCCCAGTATGACTGAAAAAGAAAAGGCTCAAACAATTTCAAAAATGATTGCTAAGACGCAAAAGAAGGTTAAGAAGGAAGTTAAAGTAGTTGTTGCTAAGGGTGGAGCCAAGGGTATGAAAGGTCGACCTAAAGGTGTAAAAGGAAGATATAAGGTAACATTTCATTTTTAAAAAAAATTAGTTACATCCGTATGATCTTTTTTACATAATGAAATCTTTATAAATATTTAATACTTTATTTAAATTTAGATGGTAGACTCGAGAATGAAAAAGGAAGTTAGAGCAATAAAAAGACAAGGAAAGTCAAAAAAAAGACAAAAACGTTAATTCTTTTTTTGATTAAGATGATCACGTATTACGTCATAAAAAAAATCATACAATTACTTTTTTTAAAAATAAGAAATTGTCAGAAAATTGATTTAAGCACCAAAAAGCAGTAGTTCAAAAATAAATAGGATTAGATAATTTAAAATTCTGTGGCTTTTCAAAAATTTCCTTTTTTATAACATTGCATTTTGCAACGCCACCAAACTTCCTAAAATGAAGGTCATACTGCAGGTAATAGATGTTTGATCAACCATTTTTCCGAACCGCCGTAAAAGTAACGTAATACAAATGTCATACGAACTGATTTTGCCCCCTTTATTTTCACTTGAGTTGGCTGCAATTTCTGCAATTCCCAAACCAGCTTTTCAAAAAAAAAAAAAAAAAAAAAAAACGTATTCATAACAGATTTTTTTTTCCTCCTCCAACCGCTTCTCATTGTACACATAGCCTTCTTCAAGCCACACTTCTCAAATATTGAGGAAAAACTTAATACTTTTCCCCCTTTATATAAAAATTATGGAAACCGTTCAGGTTCAAGACACTATACAAAATGACGTTATGGAAGAAGCCTCAACCTCTCATGTCGATAACACTGCGCCTCCAAACGCCGCCTCTTCAACTTTACAACAAATTCAAAAGGTCGAAAACCCACTTGGGAATCAAAGAGTTGAACAACAAGTTCATGGTGCCAATACTTCAAAAAACGATGGTTCTATAACACCTTCTACTACAGTAATGACTTTTCAACAGCAACCAAACCTTCCGGTACAAAATGTTCAAACAACTTGGCTTGACCCTTCACTAGAAAATAAAACTAATCTTTCGAATTCAACAATAACAACTGTAACGACTCACAAGGAACCTGTTATGACTGAACCTTTGGTTCAAAACTTGGCTACGAACGTTTCGACTACTCCACCTTCTACCACTCATGATCTTAATATGATGACTCCAAATATGAAAAGTTTGAATGCTACTGGTCCATATACTCCAGATTCAACCAATTTTTCTTCCCCTTCGACTCCTTTAGACTCTTCTCCTTCAGGAACCTTTAATCAATTTTCTGTAAATTCTATAAATACAGATAAAACGACTTCCGGACAACAAATTAATCCTAATGTAGTAAAAGCAAAACCATTTATTTGTGCAGTGTGTAACCAGACTTTTAGTCGTCAACATAACCTAAAGTCCCATGCTTTAACTCATTCTCAAGAGAAACCCTTTCAATGCGATATATGCCATCATTTCTTTCGTAGACATCATGATTTGAAAAGACATGCAAAATTACATACCGGAGAAAAGCCATATCAATGCCCACATTGTAAAAGGAAATTCGCAAGATTGGATGCGCTGAATAGACATTTACGAGCCGAAAGTTTTTGTGGAGGACCAACAAAAAAACTGTTTCAAAATTCGGAATCCAAGTTGGAACAAACAACATCACAGCAGCCACTACTACAACCACCGCCACAGCAATCACCGCCACAACCACAACAATTAATTCAAGGACAAACACAGCCGCAAACGAAATTAGATCATAAACAAAATTCACAACAAACAACACAATTACAGCAACATCAACAACATCAACTACAACAACAACAACAACAATATAAACAACCTGTTGAAGATTTACAAAAAAAGCAGGCACAAAATCAGACTAATAATAACACCCCGATTAATAAAAATGAAATATCATTTCAGAGGCAACAAGTGATGCATCAAGAACAATTTCATTCATGGCCATCACAAGTGTCATCACAGCAGTTATCTCAAATTCAAACTATTCCTCAATCTAATAATTCACAATCGTTACAAGGCAAGCAAGCTAATATTGTAATGACAAATCAATCTCATCAAATAGTATTTCCAGTTGAGGCAAGTGCTGCTGCTTCCCATTATAAAATTCAATATACCCTTAATAAGCAGATTCAAGAACCGCAAAGAAGAGTTTCCGAGATAATTATGGCGAATGACCAGGATGTTGAGGTTCATTCTACTAATGGTAAATCTTCATCTCGAGAAACACAGTTAACTGAGAGAAATAAGTATCTGGAGGAAAGGGTAAGAGAATTGGAAAATGAAGTTATCAATGAACGTAAATTACGAACCCGTCGTGAATATTTGGAGCAAAGAGTAAACGAACTTGAAATAGAAGTATGTCATTTATTTGTGATTGATTATTTATTAATGGTTTTCTTTATTAATCCTTTTTTTTTTTTTTATCCATTTAGAAAAATCTTTTGAAACAACTTTTGTTGGAACGCGATACTAGCTCATCTGATATTTCACATCTCGAGAAAAAACGTAAAACTGCTTCACCGATCGATTCGTCTAACTTTCAAAAGGATTGATATCATATATTGATTATGATACCAATTTTTGTAAGAGTTAGATATATAATTGGTGATAAAGATCACTTTGTATTTGACTTACATTTATATATAAATTACCTTTTAGATATTTGTTATTTTCAGAATTTTGAATTATTTCTCTCTGTAAAGAAAACAAATAATTCATATATATATATTTTTATATACTTCTTTTTTTTTTTTTTTAATTAAAATACTGTCAAATTTCAATTTAACTAATGTACCATTTGATATTATAATTAAAATGTTTGAAAAATTTAAAATTTAAAATGCATAGTAAATAAATATTTGTGGGAGGGTTATACTCACTTTATTATTACAATGAAAATGATGAGGTTTAAATATTACGAGAGTACATATATAAATTTAATTAATTATTTCAGATAAAAATAATGATGTTAAGTACATAAAAATAGGTTTAAATTTGAAACATCAACTACTTTACATAGAAAGAGGTCTCTCTTGCATTCCATTGCTATTTCTATCAGTGTTTTTATTATTGACCACAACTTCTGAAGAAGCAGAATTAGGAGACCTCGGAGAACTTAATTGAGATCTCTTGTTCTTAAAAGAAAGGCTAAGAGAAGCTGTGAAATAAATTTGTATCAATTAATAAGCTCACTGTATTAAATTGAAGAGTGTGTGAAAAATAATTACCTAAACCGCTAGCGACACTATTCTTCTTTATAAAATTCTTTCCTCGATTTTCCCAACTGATTTTGCCTTGATTACCCCCACCATCACGAAGTTTTTGCGCGTGACCAACTAAGCATTCGATCATTTGGTTATACGTTTCCGAATCCATCATTGTTTGCTCACGTTGATCCAACCAATATGTAAGAGTATCCGAGGTTTGACGTGTTAATGAAAGAATTTGTGTCCTTAATGAATATAATTCAGATGTGTTATATTTCTGTAAAGATTCTTCAGGTATTGAACATAATGATTTAGCCAATTCAACGTCAAATTGTTTTGGTATTTCCTGTGGTGTCACATTATTTGTTTTAGAAAGATTTCCATGAGAGGAACTAGAAAGATTATTATTAGATGAAGGTGTGGTGGATCGACTGGTTGGCGCTGATAAACTCGTAGTTTTCGATGCAGGTCGTGATGGCTGCGGAGATAGCACCGATATCGTTGCTGCATTTATATTTCCTGGTGCTTTTATCTAATGAAGATATCATAAATCAATATAACCACTAGATTCAAATTAAATAAATAATAAAATAAATGAAAAAGAATAACCTCTTCTATTGCATCGATTGCAATTCCCAAATATGCATAAAATTTCTTTCTTATTTTGGATTTTTTCCACTGAAAAGGATTTTCAATTGACTCGTGAGATATTTGTTGCCATATTGTCAAGCTAAATCGGCAACCATTTTAAAAATTGAAAATATTTTTAAATCTATAAAAATATAAATCTATTTTGTTCACCAAAATATTAATACAACAAAATATGTATGAAAAAAAAACCAACCTTCCAGATGTATTTAAAATGGATTCTAACCCGGTATCACCCATAGGTTCTTCTTGATTTGTTGACGACACGGTGTCATTTGATCGAAAAATATTATTCAATACCCCTGATAAATCTTCGATCAAGGTTTGATTATTCGTTGCGGGAAAATCCACTTGAAGCTTATTCTTTTACAAGGAAGAAAAGTTATTAAGTGATCAATTTGACTATGAATGAGGAGGTAACAAAAATGGCAAATTATTTGAACTTACTAATTTTGAAATGTTTGAAATTTGTTCACCAAAATTATTATTATTATTTGAATGTCCTTGAAAATTTTCTGAAGTTTCCATTGAATCACTACTATCTATAAAACCCGCAAAATCATCGAAATCATCATGCGACTCCTCTTTCCATATAGTTTCTTGAGCATAGTTTGTAAAATCTTCGAAATCATTGAAATTATCAGTGTTTACTTTCTCAAACTCTTTCCCCCCAATGTTTTTAGTTTCCTGCCACTCAAATTCTTCCATTTTAAAGGCAATATTAATTAAATTTGATTCAAATGTATTTTTAATATAATTGCTTAACACCGAAAATCTATAGCTGATTCGATAAAAAAAAAGAGACCGAATTCAGTCGGATATGATCGCCCCACAAAAGCTACAGAGCTTAAATCCTAACCATAAAGGTCATGCATCTTTGAGTAACAAGCATATTCCTAATTTATATGTAAAGAAATTTGATTTGATATAATATTTGTTAAATTGTTAAATTATATTGTTGGATAAAAAGTCCGTTGTGTCGTAGCAGCGCAGTAACGATTTCCGGACGGACTTCGGAGTTTACTTGTAATACATCAAAAAAGAAATCAGGTTTTATAGTATATATTTTTTGTTAAAGCATCCAAGCTTAAAGGACAGCTGGTTTCTACTCTGTTAGTTTTGTCTTAGGTATTATATCTTCTTGCTTTATCAAAATACTATAAGGAACTTTGTCAAGTTATTTTTTTGCCTTCTCGTAAAACACATTGATCAGTTATTATCGTAATCAGGTAATTAAACGGTTTGAATAAAAAAAAAAAAAAGTACGTAACGCTGCGGTATAATCGATTAACTTTCTAAACGCGCACTCATACTTATTGTGTCAACAGGTATGGAGGCCAATCCACCATTGCCAGCTCCAAACGATTTGGCAGCTACATGGGCCTTCCTTGAAAATGGCATCGATCAAATTATGAACAGGCTTGAAGAAGGGTTGAGCTACAAGCGATATATGGATCTCTATACGTATCTTTTTTTATAAAGTTCTAGCCGAGCTCTCAAAGAGTTCCATTTACTTCAAAAGTAATATGGATTAATTATGTAACGTTAGTACTAATAACAAGTAGTGCTATACATTGTAAACGGATTGTCCCTCTGGTTTTTCCTAATTAAAATTATTTGGATTACATCCTTAATGTTTATCAATGAATTGTTCTCGTCATATAGTGGTATTTATAATTATTGTACAAGCAGCCGTATGAATCCTGGGTTCGCCTCAGAACCACTTGCTGGTCCTGGTTCTAATCTTAATAATAATCGAGGTACATTCATTACACATTTTATTTACATACCAGACTCTTATTTGTTTAATTATTTATAATAAATCTTTTGACACATCAGGTGCCAATTTAATGGGAAGTGATTTATATCAGAATCTACAAAGATATTTAGAAAGGCATCTTTTTACCATTCGTGAGGTATAGTATAAACAATTTAACAAGCTCATGGTTAAAGAAAAAGGAAGGGCGTTAATGTTATTTAAACATTATGATTCTTGCTTTTCTTAATAGAATTCAACGCAATACATGGATGAGAATTTATTGCGTTATTACACCAAACACTGGGATAAATACACTACAGCCTCTTCATATGTCCACCATGTGTTCCGGTATCTTAATCGCCATTGGGTGAAAAGAGAAATTGATGAAGGTCGCAAGACAGTCTATGATGTTTATACTGTATGTCTTACATTAAGTACGGATACAAAATTTGATATTTAACATCCGACAAAATTAAAAAAGACTTACAAATTTTAATATAACGCGTTATATTCTTTATAAATTTATACAGCTTACCCTCGTTAGCTGGCGAGATCACATGTTCATGCACGTCGAACGACATGTAATGACCGCAGTGTTAAAATTAATCGAAAGACAAAGAAATGGTGAGACTGTCGAAACAGGGCTGGTTAAGAGTGTTGTTGACTCTTTCGGTATGTGGTTTTTTTAAATCGTAATTTTGTGCATTTGCTTTATAAGCGGTTTATGATATTTAATTCGACATTTGTTATTATCTATTTAGTTTCCCTTGGGCTTGATGACGCCGATTCTACAAAGTCCACGCTTGAAGTGTACAGGGATCACTTTGAAAGGCCGTTTGTGGAAGCTTCGGAAGTTTATTACAAAGCTGAATCCGAAAAGTTTGTTAGCGAGAACAGTGTTACGGATTATATGAAAAAGGTATGAAGCATATATTGTTTGCAGTGCAGAGAGCATTCATCCTTATTTTTCTAACGATATGACGACATGCATAGGCGGAGACGCGTTTAGCCGAAGAAGAAAATCGCGTAAAAATGTATTTACATGCGAGCACTCATAAACCTGTAAGTATGGCTAATATTATTGTTTATATATCTTAACATTTATTAATTCATTTGAAATTTAATTTTTGGTAGCTTATTACTACATGTGAAACAGTGCTTGTTAAGAACCATACAGACATAATGTGGGATGAATTCCAAAATTTATTGAATATGGATAAATTAGATGGTAAGTACATAAATAAGCTTTCGAATTATTTGAAATATATCAATTCCATGCATAATTGTTCAAAACATTTATGTATTTATTAGACCTCCACAGGATGTATTCCCTTTTATCACGTATTCCCGAAGGATTGGATCCCCTACGAACGCGATTTGAGGAGCATGTGCGCAAGGCTGGGTTGAATGCCATTGAAAAAATTGCAGATCAAGGCGGCGATACTATGGTATCTTATCATTCGTTTTTGTCATTTTTTTTTTTTCTTTCACCAATTTTTTTTTTGATTTAAATGTTTCCTATTTAGGAGCCAAAAACATATGTAGATGCGCTGTTGGAAGTCCATAGAAAATACAATGATATGGTTTCAACGGCGTTCAGGGGCGAAGCTGGCTTCGTGGCATCACTGGATAAGGTAATAACGGAATAATTTACTCTTGTTAAAATAATAAATATGGACTTTCTTAATATTATTTTATTACAATTATTTTATAGGCATGTCGAGAGTTTGTAAATCGCAACAACGTATGCAAATCTTCGACATCAAAATCTCCAGAATTGTTGGCCAGATTCTGCGATTCATTACTTAGGAAGAGTGCAAAGAACCCGGAAGAAGGTGACCTTGAAGACGTTTTAAACAATATTGTATGTATATTTGGTGGTTACAATTTGCGTGAATTTTAAAGTGATTTCTTTTCCAAAATTGCAACTCATACGTGTATTAACGAATATAGATGACCGTCTTCAAATATGTGGAAGATAAAGACGTCTTCCAGAAATTCTATTCTAAGATGTTAGCAAAGCGTCTTGTGAATGGTACATCGGCGTCCGAAGACGCCGAATCATCCATGATTTCAAAATTAAAGGTTGGCTCCTCTTAGATATTTATAAATAATAATAATAATAATATAAAAAAAGGAATGTTTTTTTTAATTAATACTTTAACTTTTTAGGAAGCGTGTGGTTTTGAATATACATCAAAATTACAGCGTATGTTTACTGATATGGGTCTAAGTAAAGACCTTAATGATCAGTTTAAAGATAGATTTTCGGTAGAAGCAGGTGAACCGCAAGGTATCTTACTATAGCGCAATGAATTTTTTTTTGTTTATCATGTTATATTTGCACTTATTGTGAACTTATGTTTTTTGTATCTTTACTTTTGTATTAGTCGATTTCTCGGTTCTTGTATTGGGAACAGCATCCTGGCCACTTCAACCATCTACAACTAATTTCATCATACCAGAAGAGGTGCGTGTATACTCTTTATTATCGTTAAACATGGATTATGTGCATAAATTTAATTTTCTTTTAAATTTTCTTTATTGCGTTAGGTTGAAAGAACTTTTCAACGCTTCAAGATGTTTTATCAAAACAAACATTCGGGTCGTAAATTAAATTGGCTATTTCATCTTTCAAAAGGTGAATTGAAAACCAATTACTTGAAAGCAACAAAGACAGGATATACTTTTCAGGTGGGTTAATAAGTATATATTATAATTATAATACTCATAGTAAAATAATAAATGTATATTTGTATTTGATTCTTTTTCTTTTATTTATTTATTTATTTTTGTTTCAATTGTAGGTTTCCACGTATCAAATGGGGATTCTCTTACAATATAATAAAGATACATCATACGCTTTTGAAGAATTGAGTCAGAGTACAGATTTGAGTCCAGACGTTCTATCTGGACAGTTGGGTATCTTAGTAAAAGCTAAAGTACTATTACTTTCCAATGGCTCAAGTGTTGGAGAACCTAGTTCTCGATATGATTTGAATATGGATTTCAAGAGGTTTGTGATATTCATTATTGATTTCATCCGTGCCAGCGAATGAAAATTAATTTAATTAATTACTTTATTTATTCGGTAAATCTAGTAAGAAGGTCCGTATCCAATTAAACGTTCCTGTCAAATCTGAACAAAAGGTTGAGGTGGAAGAAACTCATAAAACTGTCGAAGAAGACAGAAAATTATTGATGCAGGTTTGTATTGGTTTTATAATTTGTTATATATACCGCAACAACAAAACTAATAATTCTTTGGATATAATAACCAGGCTGCCATTGTTCGCATTATGAAGACCCGTAAGACGATGAAACACGTAACCCTTGTTCAAGAAGTGATTTCTCAATTATCAAATCGCTTTAAACCAAGAGTTCCCGATATCAAAAAGTGTATTGATGTCTTGTTAGAAAAGGAATACATAGAACGTGTAGATGGTCAAAAAGACATGTTTTCTTATGTTGCTTAATTATAGTGTATTATATATCTGAATCTGTATTAGTTAGTTATCGACACTAATTGCATATTGTTAAAGTTAAATGATTTAGTAGTGTTTTTAAATATAAAACACAACATATTTTATCATCTTAAAGGTTATAATTGATTAGTGGTTTGGAAATTGTTACTTCTCTTTGTAAGATCTGAAAATTAGATTTCTATGAACAATTTTATATCTTAACAACTCTGTATTCGGCAATTTCCATCACTTCTTTATAGTTTTTTTTCCACACATATATATTTCTTTGTAATAAATGTGAAAACATTTTTGTTTAAATCCAAATTGTGCAATCTGGAAGTGGTGAAACAAAATCACGTGACAACAAAATACGCGTATTTCGTATTTATTACTCTTTTTTTTTTTTTTTTTGTTTCTACAAAAGCCTTAAAACATGTACTCAATCGATAAAAGTAATAAGCGTAGTTTATCAAGTTATACTTATGAAGTTAAGAGACACCAGGGAAAAAAGAGTTATCCACATGTTCTCAACTTTTATAGTATATCCCCTACTGAGGAAATTACTATTGACGAGTTTGAAAGTTTCGCTTTTGACAGAATGCAAGGTATATAAGTTTAAGTGAATTACGCGTTTTTCCTCCCCAAAAATATTCCCGGTGTTTATATACATATAAGACGTGCTTTATTTATAATAATATTGTCAAAAGTATTAAAAGCTCTTGAAGGAGCAATATTACGTAACAAAGAAGAAGAAGAAATAAAAAAACATATAGAAAATGTATCGAACACTTGGCTTCCATTACATTCAAACGAATCAGATAAAGGATATTCCTTACAAGAAGAAAGAAGAAAAGATCACATATCCCATTTTATCTTAAGATTGGTTTATTCCAGAACGTAAGAGTAATTTACAAATAAAATTGTTATAATTAATGTTTTTTACATTAACTATCACTTTCTTCAAGTGAAAATTTAAGAGCCTGGTTCTTGAAATACGAGTGTGCTTTATTCAAGTAAGCAATAGATTTTTTTTTTTTGGTTATATTCATTCCTTTTTGATTCAATTTAATTTATTTGTCACGTTTGTAGATTGAGATTTTCGAGGGAAAATAAAGACGAAAAGTTGTCCTTTCTGAAAGATGAGAATATCACGTGGAAAAATGTTCGGTTAATTTATTTTATCATATTACATCCTTTTTGAATCCCTGTTTAATTAGTATTATTATTCTTAAAAGTTAAGTAAAGCCGAAAGGGAATCAATGGCAAACGAATTGCGTTGGTCATCAAACTTTGACGAAGAAACATTTTTTGAGGTACAAACGGGAAGATTTGAAAATTAAATGTATCATTCTTGATATATATATGTATATATTTATTTATTTATTTATTGTAACTTTATTTTGCGCTTAACTTAGATTGATTTTGAAAAAGTACCAGATCTTGTTGCAAGACGTGCCGTTTATTTAAAGAAGGGTAAAGCCTATGTCCCAATGACCGACCTATTATCCCTTGTTATGTATGAATTTCGGCAGAGACTTTCGAAAGCATTAGATGTACGCGAAATTTCCATTTTTTTTTTTTACTCATATTAGTTTATGTTTATTTTTATAATGTCATTTATGTTATTATCTATAGTTAGCAAGCAAGTCATTTATTACTTCAAGAAACGAACGAATTATGCCAATGTTGAATGAAATCATAAAACAATATGACGGAAGGACGCAGACAAGCAATTATTCCGTAGGTGATGATCCAACGTCAGATAGCGTGCATCAGGTAAATATTTTAAATATCAGAATTTTACGTAAATTTGTTTTAAAATAAAAATAAAATTAATTGATTTCTTATTAGCTGGTCGAACATTTCCCATTATGTATGCAACATTTATACCAAAACCTTCGCGAGAATCTTCACTTGAAACATTTTGCTAGAATACAATTCAACCTATTTCTTAAGGTACCTTTGTTAAAACATATTGAAAAAAAAAGGTAATGCCAATGATAATTAATCCGTTGACAATTTTTTTGTTTTACAGGGAATCGGACTAACAGTTGACGAGGCGCTTGCTTTTTGGAAAAAATCTTTTTCCAATATCGATGATGCCAAGTTTCAAAAAGATTACGCGTATAACATTAGGCATAATTATGGTGCAGAAGGGAAACGCCAAGATTATAAACCCTTAAAGTAAGTCATACAATTTTTTTTTCTTAAGATCAAATCGATTAAATTAAATTAAAAGGTATCAATTCTTTGTTTAGTTGTATGTCTATTATTACCAAGCAACGACCTAATTCAGGACAAATCCATGGTTGTCCTTTTCGGGAATTCTCCCAATCGAATTTAAGAAGTAAATTAGTACAAATGGGAGTAAGAAATGAAGAACACATAAGGGAAATTTTAAGTCTCACTGAAAGAGAACATTATCAAGTCGCTTGTACAAAGTATTTCGAAATTACCAAAGGTTTATTAGATGATAATGATGAGAACATTATAGAAACAATTGAACATCCAAATGAGTATTTAAAAGCAAGTATTTCTCTTAAAAAAAATAGGATGAAAATGAATAATAAAGATGATAAATAAATATGGTTTTATACGTGCCTTACCGTTTCATGAAAACATTATTCTTTATCTATAGACTTTCAAAAAAGAAAAAGAAAATTTAATAGTATTAAATCATACTTTTATCTTTATCTATATTTTATATGTATAACAATGTATTTCTCTTTTTGCGAGTTTAATTATGTAATATGATAGCATGTGCTTAATATCAAGAATTTTTAGATATTAGATATTTCAAAAACGAAAATAAACGTGCTGCACATTATAGAGAAATAAGATTTTCAGACATAACAATGGCTTATATAAAGATTAGTATGATTTTACACTTTATATAATTAGGATTCTTAAAGGTATTAATGAAAGCAAATTGGTCAGAAAAATCGAGTGCGTTATATACAACTCTAGAAAATTTGTTGAAAAAGTATCTGTTCAGTAATTGTTAAAAAAAAAAAAACTTAATATTCCGAAGATTCCGAAGAGAAAAATCATTCAAATAATTCAAATAATCTAATTTTATTAGCATACTCATTTATTATTCTTTTTTATTTTCCTTTAGTAGCAAATTCTGCCATTTTTTCAGTAATTTCTTTTCTATAAATATCTATATATCTCCATAATTTTTGTGCATATTTATGAATTGTAATCAAAGGAATTGAATCTAAAGCTTTAGTTTATTGTAATCCTGTTCATTTATAATTACAATATTCTCTTGTATATCTTTTTATTGCACCCAATATATTTCTATATAATTTAATTCACAATAATACTTAGAAGAATAAAAATGCATTTATGATTATGCTTTTTGTAATAATAAAATTTGATGTTTATAACATACCACTTTATTCATATTTATAATTTGTTTTTCTTTTACATAACTAATAATCAACCAATAAATTATTTTTCCATAAACTTCTTTTAATTATTATTTGTTTCATATCTTTTTGTTGATTTGAATACTTAAATATTCATATAGAAAAACCATAGATTAAAAAGTTTGATTTTGTTTATAATAAATTGAATATATATATAATTACTTATCTCTCAGATTCATATTTATTTTAAAAGTATTTAATCCATTTTTTACATTGTATCATTATTAGTATTATTATCAAATACAAAAATAGTTATTATATTAAGATATAATATTTCAAAAATTAGAATTGCTAAATTTATTACTTGATCTAAAAGATGTCTACTATTTATTAATCCTTATCATTTTTACCTATTCCTTAGATTGTCTAGCAGGTAAATTACTTGCAAATTTAAAAAAATGTGTTATTTTTTTTAATAAAATATTAAATATTAATTTTAGTAATATAATAATTATATGAAAAATATAGTTTAATTTATAGTTTATTAATTTTATTAGAAGAAATTTTAAGTTTATAAGATATTTTTTAAATAATTTAATTTTAAATTTAAGTTTTAAAAAATTTATTATAATAATTTTTTAAAAAATTCTTTAAAATATACATTTGCGAACTAATTTAATTACTTTACTACTAATAAAAGTTATAAATTTCTTAGTAAATTATAAAAAATATAATAATTAAAGTTATTTTCATGATAAATTTTATAATATAAGCTTTTTGCAATAGAAAGAAAGGAAACTACTAAAAAAATTTTTTTTTGAATTAATGTTAAATCTGAACTTATTTTATTAAAAAAATAATATTTAGCTTATAAAGCTAAAAAAAAATTTTTTTTTGATAGTTTTCTCCTTTTCTATTGCAAAGAGTTTATATTCTATTATAATTAATATTGCTAAAAGTAAATATTAATAATAAGATTATTAAAGGTCAATAATAAAATTTATTAATTTATAATTCTTTAAAAATTACAAATTTTTAGCTTATAAGTAACTGTAAATTATTAAAATTATTATTATATAAATTTACTATAATATAATACATATTTATAAAATTAATTTAAAAAATTTTAATTTTTAATCAGAAGGAAATTTATAGTAAATAAGCAGGTAAATTTGCCTCTATAATCTAAAAAATATTTAAATAATTTCTTATTTCTTTAAAAATATTTAAATAAATTTATGTTATCTAATAGTTTCTAATAAAAATTCACTAATCTTTATAAATTTATCTTAACATTTTTTTCTAAATAGTGATTTAACTAATAAAGTTCAAATAGTTAAATAATCATCATTAGTATAAAAAAGGCATTTATTATGTATTATTAAAATATATAACTGTTCTTCATTTTAAATTTTAGAAAATCATTTGTATTTTATCAATCATTAAATAAAAGTTAACATTAATTTTTTAAATTTTACTATAGTTTTTAAAAATAACTTCTAATATTGTAATACACTTTGCATTTATATCCATTAAAATATATATCTTTCTTTTGAGATTATGAAATCAAACTTAACTTATGAAATTATACTCTTACTGTTTTTATTGATATTAACTTTATAATACCTATTTAAGAAAAAAAAGTTTGATATTATAAATTCTTTATATTGTTATTTTTTTGTTTTTTCTATCATTAAAATGAATATATATTAAATTACAATTAATAATATCCTTTATTTTTTAATGATAACCTTATGCATCATATTTAATTTAATAATTATCTAATTTACTAATTACTCTAAATCTATAAATTTCTTTATTATAAATTTTCTTTGATACTTTCTCACATGCTTTTATCTGTATTAATCCATCTTTTTTCCAATATGTAAAATATGCATATAAAGATTGATATCTTAAGTAATTATATTTTGCTTTTTTTATTATTTGAAATAATTTGTGTAATTTTAATTAAAATCACATCTTTGTTAAATTAAATTAATTTATATATTTATTATATAAATCTTTTTTATTTATTTAAAATAAACATTATATAAAAAGTTAAATATCAAATCAAATTAGTTAAATGATAACCAATTTAAATTATTAGCTAATTATTATTAATTTAAATAAATATATCCTGCAATTAATATAGTAAAATTAATCAATATAAATTTTATAATGTCTATATAAAGATATATTGTATAAAAGTTTAATTTTAGTAGAATCTGATTTTTGAATTTAATATATAAAAGTTTATGAAATAATATTAATAGGATTTTTTTATATAATTTGTAGGCCAAAAAAAAAATTTTTTTACTGTAATTAACTCGATGGGTTGTGTGTTTTCTTTTAAGACATAAAAAAAAAAAAGATCATTTAATAAAAGCCTTACCTAAATTCTCCTTTTCTTTCACCTGTATGAATATAAATTTACCGAAATAAATTGTGCATTTAATGTCCTTTTTCTGTAGCTTTTTGATACCAATAAAGAAATTTTCTAATACCTTTCTATCCCTTTACGTTTATAATATAAATTTACAAGATTAAATGCTTTAATATTAATTAAAGGATAAATACTCTTTTAATCTGTATTATCAGACGAGCCGCTGTCATATTGGTCTTGTTCTTCGGCTAATTTTCGAGAAAAATAACAATAAATTAAATGTTATATTACAAATTATTAAATAAAAAGACTTAGGTTGCGTACCGCCATCTCCCAATAATGCGGCTAAAGAAATAGGTCCCGCTATGCCATTAGATTTTTTCCCGTCCTAATTAAAATTTCACTCATAAGATTTCTACATTAATCGTATTAAGTTTATAATTTAATTTAAATATATAAAGCTTACTGTTGTAATCGACTTTTTTTTCGTACGAGGAGATTTAATAATGCTATTTATTGATTGTTTCATTTGTGTCTCAAGATCACCTGGATCAGATTCCAGCTCTGATTCACTTGAATCAGACCCGTCACCGGAATCATCTGAATCGGAAGATGTGGAAGAAGTACCACCTGAAGAACTACTGTTTGATGATTCTGTCACATCATCTTTTGTTACCTCTTCATAATCCTCCGTCGGTCCATACATATCGTCTTCGGGCGATGGAGCTTGTGGTAACGGAGCATCAACTTCCTCCAAATCACCCTCCATCCAGACATCACCATCATCATCATCATCATCATCATCATCATCATCATAATATTCACATTCGTCATTTACATTACCATTCTCCCCATTACCTTCAACTTTCATTGATTCTTTAAATTTCTCTAAATAATCCTCTTCTTCATCTGGGAAATATTCTCCATTTATATATGATTGATCTCCTTCTTCCATTACTTCTTGAAATTGTCGCTCAATATCTGAATTAGTAGTTTCAAGTTTCTGACCTATACTGTTAACTTCCGAAAAATCACTACCAACACCTACTCGAAACTCATAATCCAGGAGTTCTAACGTAAAGGTCTAAAAACAAACCGATTTAGTTAAAGATGATTCCTAGAAATTGATTTAAATTAAATAAAATTGTACTTTTGTTGCCTCATCAAATATTAATAAATAATCTCTTTCTGCATTTTCATCATCTATCTCATAATTGTTATCTTCAAATCTTTGTCCAGACAATAAATATGCTTCGTTTTCCTTAATTAAAAATTCATTTAATTAATTATGTAAAACAGTCTGTAAACATTAATAAACATGAAATATTCAAGTATAACAAACCAAAGATCCACCAAAAGAAATTTGCACAGTTTTTTCATTAATATCTCTAATATTTGCAGGTTTTGAAAAATTTATATCATGATGTTCTTCGTCAACTAATAAAAAACGATCTATTAAGTATTTTTATAAGTCCAACGGAATTGTTAAACGATAATATACTTACACTCAAAGCGAAAATAGGAATTTTTACTTGAATGGCTTTGTTCAAGTGAATTCCCCAACTTAAAGTCGAATACTTGTGCCTCAGATTCAATAAATTTTTCTTCATGACTTTCGTTGTCTGACATTTTGTGTATGGTTATATTATCATAAGAATATTTGGAGTTTTATGCCGTATCTGAACAGAACTTCTTACAGTTAAAGCACCTTCTACTAAACAATTAACTCACTGTGATTAATTTTTTGTTTTTAAAAAAAAACCATTCACTGGCTTAAGTAATCGATAATATATGATTTCAAAAAAATAAATAGAAGAAATAACGATAATAATAGAACAAGTCATTTTCGAGGGATGTTACAAGTTATCCCTTAAATCGTCCGATCTAAGCGGATAAACTTGCCCTCTTTATTTTCCGAAATATCTACTATCTTTTAACGCGTAATATTCAGAATTTTTTTTTATTTCTTTTTGTTGCATGAACTCTACAAACTCTTAAATAGTTTTAAAGTGAATATGGCTATTACATCCTAATTGGAAAATAAAAGATTAGTACAGGCTACAACTTATTATTACGATAAACTTCTAAGGAATTTGTAAAATACGATTTGGCTTCTGCTATGAATGAATTAAAATAATCGGGATAGATCTCATATTTAGTTTGTGTAGAAAAGGGTAAAACTCTTATGCTGAATGAAATATTAATTAACTGTAAATCATGATTCAATTCAGATGATAAGATGAGCACAGGAAAGTATACTAATCACCATTCACGGATTTCGAAGAAAACTCGGCGGGTAATTTTGCATCAAACCATCCGGGAGACTTCTTTCCCAATGCCTCAAGAATCAGAGCTGCACAATCCATGTTAGTTACTTTACTCTCAATCTTCGAGCTCGGCTCAATCCCTGCACCACGAACGGCTAAGAACACATTGACTTCCTGGTCGCTATCTCCACCGTGGCTTCGCCCAATACCACCATGGTCAGTTGTCATTATTACAAGAGAATCATCTCTCCATCCCGCTTCATCAATAGCTTCAAGAATTGTCGCAACTTGTGAGTCCATAACTTTGATTTGATTCAGATACTGCTGAGAACCATAACCGTAACCATGGCCGTGCTCGTCTACGTCAGTCAAATGAACAAGCAACAATTTAACACTTTTGTTTTCAGGGTTACGAATATAATCGACCAACCGTGAGACAACAGCATAGTCGTAAACAGAATTTTTAAGCCAGTGATGTTTAAAACGCAGCCACCATCTCCAGAAATAGTTTTCGTGGGTGAGAGGAGCATACAAATCGACCTTTACCGATAATTCAATGATACCAGTGTTGATTGCTTCCCATGCTACATATGATGCCATCTTAATATCCTTGAAACTTTTAGCAAGTAGCTTGTAAATACTTGGATAGGGACTATCTTCATCATATGGTACGCCAGCCTCCACTTCACCATTTTTTAATCCATGCTTATCCGGTAGAACTCCGTGTAGTACTGATCCCCAGTTTTGTGCGCTGTCAGTCGGCACAACCGCCTTTGCAGTTAACGAGCTAGCACCCGAGGCAAAAAAGGCATCAATTGTGGGTGTTGGGATTTCCGTGAAAAATCTCCCTACACCTAGGTATGGATTAGAATTATCATTAGCATCGTTGTTGTATTAATCAAAAAATTATTCTTTCTTGTTGTTCCTATACTTACCATCTAATGCGAGAACGATAACACGTTTATACGGACTTTGCAAAACCATGTTTGGTGAAATGATATTCCCGACATTCTAACAGAGTTTATATATATGAACAGGATCATAATTACTGCGGCGCGAAAGATATCTAACCAAATCTGTATTCATTCATACAATCCCACACAATTCAATACAGTTGAATTGTGATACATTTGTTGGACATTTATTGCATCTCATTTAGGTCCCTTTTATATAATTTTTTTCAGGGCCGTGCCGGCAAGAATCCGATTGTTAGGGAACGTATGCTATATTGTTTGGCAACTTATTCTATTGTCAGCGTTGGTCACAAATTCCAGAATTCGGAAAATTCTCCGGATGTCAAGAAAAGCCCTTGGGTACACGAGCATCTCAATGTTTGCCTACAAAAGGTGGGACATTGTATCAATTTTTATATCATGAATACTTTTCTTTTCTCTTGTATAAAGGATTGACGACGTTATTATATACTAACGAAAAATATATATATATAACACGTTCCTGCCTGTACTTCCGAAACTAAGTATGTATGATTTAATTTGCTGTCTCTATTTTACGTTTTATTTCAAGTTTTATGAGTTATAGAGTTATAGCAGTATACTCGGTTGACTATTTCCATTTTAGATGAGTACCAAAACTAATATACCAGGAGGCTATGGTCTTTGTCCCGCATGTGGTGGAAAAAAAACATCTGAAAATTGGTGCCCGCCATGCCATGCGCGACTGCTTCTTGACGAATGTTCAGGATTGACGAGTGGTGATAAGAACTTGGATGAGTTTATCAGAAAAACTATTACCGATGCACGACGTTCTTATGATTACTTCGAATGGATTCCTTTTGAGAATTTCAAGGATATCAAACAAATAGGGAGGGGTGGATTTGCCACCGCTTATTCAGCGACTAGAACTAATTGTCGGAAAGGTCATTTCGATTGGGATGAAAAAACCAAGAAATATGTCAGAGGGAGTTGGAAAAACTATAAAGTCGCACTGAAATCCTTCCACAACACTCCTGACATAGCATCAACGTTCCTAAATGAGGTCAGTTATACCATTATCACTTATTGTACCATCATTTATTAGCTCCACTTTCATTTCATAAGAATCTATTCCAGATAAAAACTCATCACAAATGCATGATGTTGCAAGAAGACGAATTCCTCCAGTGCTATGGGATTAGCCGAAATCCGGTAACTAAAGAATTCATAACAGTCTTAGACTACGCGCAGCAAGGTGACTTGCGCCATTTCTTGCAAAAAAATCATGAGACCCTGAAGTGGGAGGACAGGCTACGTATCGTGACCAAGATTGCCAAAGATTTGAAAGTTATCCATAGCACTGGACTTATCCACGGAGACTTTCACAGTGGAAATGTGCTGCAAGAATCGACTATCCCTAAAGTGTCTGATTTTGGGCTGTCGCGTGTGGATAAAGACCATATTCCAGAAGGTGGCATCTTTGGAGTTGTTCCTTATCTTGCTCCGGAAGTTCTGCGCGGAAATTCTTATCGTAAACCTGCAGATGTATACAGCTATGGAACTATTATGTGGGAAATTTCCTCCGGCAGACCAGCATTCTGCGATATTGCGCATGACTATCGACTCATAGCTCGAATCTGTAATGGTACTCGACCCCAAATTGTCACGGGTACGCCAGACTGTTATATTGAATTGATGCAAAGGTGCTGGGATGAAGAGCCAACAAAGAGACCTACGGCAGAAGAGATTTATGACACTTGTCTTAAGTGGTATAATTATGTCAAAGAGAAAAAATTTGATATTTATCATCAATTTGCAAAAGCTGACGAAATAGCAGCAACTAGGGATCGGGCAATCCAAAAACATAGCCCTGAAGCCATTTATACAAGTAGACTTATTCACTATGTCACCAAGAAACAGGATACTTGTAATGATACCAAGCAGCAGGATCTCTATATTAATACCAGCTTACAGAATCTCTGTAATGATACTAGGCAACAGGATCTCTATTTAAATGACATGACCGAATAATGTCTATCGTGTAAGGGGGAAAGGTTCAGCCATTTTTATATGTTATTTTCCTGAGCCAATTTGCATCTAACTTATTTTTCATTTTTGGTCTCTGATTTAATATTTGGTTTTTCACTTTAGCTCGTTTTTCTTTCTTGATTGAGTGTATTTAAGTTTCTTGTAACAAATGACCAATTTCTTTTGTCTGTTAATAATCGACCCTGTGGAAACGGAGTATACGGTTTTGTTCCGAAAACATACTAATTAATTTCAAATATGTTTTATGATTAAAGCATACAGAAAAGGTGTTTAATCTACTTTCTGTCGATTTCAGATGTCGCTTTGTTATAAATAAGGAAATGATCTTCATGTAATTCTGGCCAAAGTTGGACAACCTGGCCTACATTATAAATATATGCGGGTCGAACATCTGAGGTACAACATATATATTTATTTATTTATTTATTTATCCGAATATTTGTTTTTATAAAACAATATTATATACATATATATAAAAACGTGAGAATTTATCAAAAATTTTCGCAATTTTTATCAGATCATTTATTTCTTTTATTTTTTACAATTGAAGTTTGTTTTAAAATATATTTAATTAAAGGATTCTAAATAGTAATTATGAATAACAATTCAAAAACTTATTGAAAGTTATAAGACTTTACAGTAAAAATGTTGCAGGCAATTTTATTTATTAATTAAAATTATTTTTAAATATATTATTAAAAAATTAATACTTTTCAATAAATTTTATAATATTTTTTAAATAAAAATTAAAAAAAAAAAAAATGTAATTAGCTAGTGATTTTTTAAAGATAAATAAATAATAAATTATTATTAAAAAATTTAAACTCATATATATTGCTATCTATTAATCTCAAAATATAAAAATACTATCATTTAATAAGTCTTAATGAGATGAATCCAATAAATTGAATTTTATTTTTAAATAATTAAATTTTAAAAAAATAAAATATTATATAATTTGAAAAATTGAAAAATTGATATATATTAATTTTAAAAATTTAAAAATATTATTATTAGATATATTTTAATATGACAAATCTAATAAATTTTAATTTATTCTTTTATAATCAAATCATTAGATATCAAAATATTTAAACTTTCTAAAATGTTTTATAAATAATTTTATGCTTACAATTTAAGAAATAATAAAATAAATATTAAAATATATTAATAATAATAATAATATTTATAGTGCAACCATTAGAATTATGCTACTTATTAAATTTAGATATATTGATTAAATATTAATATATTAAATAAGAAAGCTTATATATATGACATAATTATTAGAGAAAGGGAGGGGATCTCAAATATCTCACCTCTATGATTAGCCAATCAGGATAAAGATTTAAATCACATGATCTACATGACATATTGTGATATTGTACAACAATAATCTAATAATAAATCTAATTTGACACATGTCATCTTAAAAAAAACGTACAAATTCAAAAAACGTACAACAAATTCCAATAACAATAATATTTTAATCGATAAATTGGACTTTCTTAAACAATTTATGTATTAGTAGAATATAATGTTTACATGATTTAATGATTTAACATATCGCAAATTTACTAACTTTTTTTTCTGTCACTTAAAAAACCCACCCTAACTTTTAATAACCTTTTTATTTACTATCTGATTGTATTTTTTGATTATATAAGTCTAATACTTGTCTAGCTAACGTAAATATAACTGAAAAATCATCGATAGAATTGGTAAGTAGCTTTTTTTGTTTAACTGTTGTTCTCATCATTTTAGATGTTGATTTTTTTTATGTAAGGCAACTATGAAAAGAGTCAGAAAATACACATTGCAATCAAAACAGCAGAAACAAGTATAAGTATTTAAATTAATGGAAAGATAGTAGGCATCATATTCAGGTATTTTGAATTTATTACAATATTCTAATATATGAAGCAAATTCAAAAAATGATTATCTTTTCCTTTATTATAGGTGAAAGGAATCCATTATTTTTCGCAAGAAGAATGATTGACTCTTCATAACGTTTAGGTAAACAACAAAGTGAATTTTCACATTTTTTAATATTAAGAGAATATTGACACATCTTAGTATGATTTTCTAGCTATTACCAGATATAATCGATTCTTTAGTATTTTCTTTGCCATATATAGGAAACATAATATCTTCAAATAGAGAACTTTTTTAATCAATATACTGTATTGTAACCAGTCTTCCAAAGATAGGATTACGATCTTAAAGAGCACATAAAGCTTCACTAACGTAATACATATTCTTCATTGCAAGCTTTGAGTTAATCACTTAGCTTTGAGAGTTAAGATGAGAACCATATTTATCAATTGATAATGTTATTCCAGCTAGCTTTTGAGAAAACGTTGTAATATTATACTTAATAGGATTATATGCTGATTGGCCAGGTATATGCGTTCAAATGAAAAGATAATTAAGATCAAATGCACAGAACATTCTACAATATTGAAAGATATTCTTCATGTGACGTAAATTTTTATCAGGACCTCTGTCAACTAAAAGAATCTAAATGGATTTGATCTGACTATTGACTTTTAATATCTCATCAAAATAACTGTTTTTTGTTAATAAATTTAGATCACTCATATAAGAGGTTGAGTTTGTGCTAATTTGATATTGCGGATGTATAAAAATTAAAAGTTGACTATTACGAAAAGAGTCATTTGTATTGCTTAAATTAATAAGTAAGTAAACTAATAGGATAAGTTTTTGCTGCATTCTAATCAGAAAATCATGATCAAATAATGTAACTAATTCTTGAAAACTTTGCATTGTTTAAAAAGTTCTTCTAACTGTAGGAATGCCAAGAGAAATTTTGGCTTTGTCATTTTGAGAAATAATAACAGAATGGATTAGAAATAAGGTAGCTTATTAATTTGCTTCTTTTATAGAAAAAAGCAAGACAATATTGCTCATCAGGGTGTTCCTTTTTTTCATTTTGAGAAACAGATGTAATTGCGATATTAGCCAGATAGTGATAAGCCTTTACTATTATAGAATTTGATTGAGATAGTAATAGGTAATTACTAAAAGTGATGCAAGAAAAGATATTTGTTATATTTTAAATTAAGTTCTTCTTAAAGATGACGGATGGTTCTAATTTAATAACTTCTTTTCTTCTTTTTTTATCTGCAACTCTGAATTTAATATATTCATGTATATGTTCATGTAAATCAGGATATTAAATTAAAAGAGATAAATGATCAGGTGAATTATATTTTATTATTTCTTGATTTTCTTGTAAAAGTTTCGCTTTTTTTCCCTACTTTTACATTGATAACTTGCCTAACATTTTAATTTCTTAATTTTATTATCTTTATTGTACAAAATTTCCTTGAGACTTGCTATGCGCTCTATTAGGTTACATCAAATTTTTAAATCATTAGTAGAATTATAAAGATGCTAAAGTTCTATAAGTTTTATATTAGTTGTATTGATAGTTTTCATAGCTTTTTTTGTGCAGCAGCATTGGGAAGTGGATTGACATCAACTACAATAATTTCTTCTATTAGCTTTTGAATGACTCGAGTAGATTTTGAACTTTGAGATGAGCTAGCTCGTGAATAATTAGTTTACAAAAGGCTTTAGATTAGAATCAGAATTACCAAATATTCATAGATTTTATTTTCAATTTCCTCCTAAGGTTTATTTTGAATCTCCTTCTATGCATTAGTATATTCTATACATAGGCTAATTTTTGAGTAAACAGGATTTTTGTATTACCATACATTGATAACCAAAAGCATTATAGAACCTTTGGTATTAATTTATGGAAGTTTTATAAATATAAAACTTGTTGTATTTTGGTGTAGTTAGAAAAGACTACATGCTAAGGTTTTGAATAAAGAAATCAAAAAGTGGTGATCAGAGACGTAATTAGTACTATATTTATAGATACGATAAATGCTAATGATAAGTCACATATATCAGTTACGAAAGATATGATAAAATTATAAACTGATATTACAAAGGTAATATTTTTTATTTATAACATCAATATAAAAACAATATTAATTATAATTATTTTATTAAATTAAACTAATGCTGATTATATAGATGATGATGAATCACTCAATGATAGAAATAAAGTAAAATATGAAGGATTATAAGGTAAATAATCATCTATTTTATTAAATAATTTATGATACTAAAATTTTTTAGGTACAAAACATTGAAAAATCTTTAGTTAAGTGAACATATACTAGCAAAAGTTGTATTAATTAATATCATAAAGGCAAATTAACTTTTAACATTAGCAATTTTTAAGTTTATAACAATTAAATTATTTGGAATTCTTAAAAAAGCAGCTTAATCTTTTAATAGTATCCTTCAATGGTACCTTTTTCTTTATTATAATTTATTATAAATATGAAATGTAATGCTTAATAATAATTGGTTGAAATAAAAATTTAACTATCATGTAATATTATAGTCACTTCAGAGGGAAGGAGATCAGATTTATAGTAATTTATAATTACGTCATATATATAAGTTCCCTAATACTATTCTTTAATTTTAATTATATTAGTTAAACATTAATATACAGATCCCATCAAAAGTTTTTGAACACTATTTTTTAGGTGCGATTTCATATGGATAATGTCATATGACTTTATAATACTGCAGTCATATGATATTTTAAACTTTGTTTACATAAGTCAAACCTAATAAATGCACGTTTGGTTTGTTTATTTTGACTTTAAATTAAATAAACTTTAATCTTCTGAAAACAATGAAAATGACCCAAGAATTAACAGCAGAATAATGCGATACTATATTTTTTTGCTGTTAATATGGTGATAATTACTGAACTATTTCTGAGACCATCTGTTGTAAAGTGTCAACAGTATTTAATGCTTTAAAAAGGATAGATGACACTGGAACTACTAATTTGAAGTCTCATTCCGGTCGATCATCTCTTATTGAACCTTCACAACGAAACTAACTCAAGCGACTTGTAACTAAT